TCCATCCTCATGGCCGATTCTTGTCCCTCTCCACCAACATCCTGTAATTCATTAGACTCAGGGTCAGCTCCCTCGACGAAGGGAGGAGGAGTTTTCACAGCTTTAGAACCAATTTCTTCACCATTCCTAGTCTTCCCGCCAGCTGCCTCTTCAGTCTCTTCCTCTAAAAACACCAACTCTGTATGCAAACTTTCTGTTTCAAGAAGATCATTGTTGCTTTTCGGAGACAAACTTCCCAGATTTAGCATTTCGTCTCTATCAGAATTGCCATTGCTGTTTTGTTCACTCAACCAATCTTCAAGCACTGTTCTGTTCTCATCACTAGACTTCAGGTATCTCGGGTTGCGCCTATCTGGTGAGAGACGGTTCGCCAGGTTGGAAGGGACCCACAAATTGTTGCCGCAAGGCCTTGATGATAATGATGGTATCACAAATCATGGTACCAAAATATAAACATAAGCTACTCAACAAAGCCTTATCTCAAATCAGCTACATGAATCCTGTTTCACCACTCTACGCTATCAAGGGATACATCCCTATGAACATATGAGTCAAGATAAATAAAATTGCATAGGGATAATCACAAATGTAGGTCACCAAACAGCAGATAGGCTTGAGTTATTTAAGCATTTATTGGAAGAGACCTACCAATTAAACCATCTAATATAACCAATTATTTTGAAAAAGGAAAAAAAAAAGAATAATTCTGATTCAATTGCCTGTATCACCTATATATGCCTGAGAGTTTCAGACTATAAAAGTTATCTAGAAAGAGGTTGACTACTGAAGATAAATGTTTTGTAGGCAATCGAGTTTAAATTTCATTATCAACATTTTCTTTACATGGTTACCTACTGAAGATACATAAATTAAAAATGGAAAAAAGCATGTTTCCATGCTGTTTCTTCCTGTCCTAAGAACTGTTGAAGTTGGAAAATTGATCAGTGATTCATCCCATCTACCATGTGGACTACTTTTTCAAAACCATGGTCTCTGCAGAGTCTGCAGAAAAAATGACATGAACTATTTGTTGCATTCATATTTCATCAACTACTAGCATAAGTATGGAAAAATAAGCGCCACCATTCTGAACAAAAATGGTTACCACAAAAGGCAGAATTACTTTTTCACAGCTATAAAAAAATTAAAAAGAACTTGATTGATTCACATTTTCAATGAGTGACACAATACATAAATTTTATGACATTCCATTTCTTGATGGATATCTAATCTAGATACAAGCATGGAAACGAAATTTCCACCTGCCTCTTTTGCATGTGGAACATAATAAGCACATTTTAGGACCCCCACTAGTTGATGGATCTTATTAAAAGAAATTCTAGGCAAAAATTAAAACTTTCCAGGCCCATGTTCTGGATGCGTAATATGTAAGCTGGACAAAGGATGGTCTCTTACCATTCTAATCTAAAGATGTTTGACCTTCAAATATAATGACCAAAAAGTTGTTAATAATAATCACAATATACATGCACGTAATTCCAGAACAAGAAGTACCACCTTGAGTTCAACAATCGCATCATGAACTTCCTTGAATGAAATCGTATCATATTGTCTCTGCTTCTCAATTTCATCAAATTTAAGGACAGAAGCTGCAAAAATAAAGTGGAAATAAGAGCATGAAATGCATAACAACACTTTTCTACAATGTTTAAATGATAAAGGTCAAAATTAAAGAAGTCAATTTGCCAATTCAAGGAAGGTAAGAAATGAATGAAATATGCACATACATATAATGGAACTTATCTGAATGTGTCTTCCAGATATTTTTCCTCCCTACCCCATGTGTTGACTAAGAGACATAACTATGTATTTGCTTGAAGAGAAATGGGTTTTCTAAAGGTGGTGTCTAGATGCAATTGCTATCCTCACCTCCCCCCCTCCCTTCAGCCACATGGAAGGAAGGATGATACAGAAGCCAATACAGATTTTTCAGGAATACTTATCAGCAGAAAGAAACCCTCTAGATTTGCCACATGTCATTTCAGCTCTATTTCCTAAACATTTAAGACTCTTCCCCAAGCAGTGTCAGACATTGAAGTTCCAAATTTCTTCAAACAAAGAAAGACCAACAAGGGGCATTCTTTGGCCACGTTGCAGGATGCTATTTTGCTGAAAGTTGCCACATGAGAATGATGTGGCGATCACTGGAGCCCTTTTGGACTGCCACCTAAATTTACTCATTAAGGTTTCAAGGTCCTGCATATCCCTGTGCTAATTTGTCTAGAAAGCCCATCCAAGTATACATGTAAAATGAACAATATTCGGACTGAAATATGCTAGGAATAGGACTAATCAATGAAGGACCTTTCTCAAAAAACTTGAAGATGTCATTCCACAGTTGAGGTTCTTTAGAGCCCGGAATCTCCACCTCGTGGAACTTACGAAGTTGCCTTGCAATTTCAGCAGCCAACTTTGGTTTCCTCATATCTGCAAATAAATAATAGAAAAAATTCACGTCAATAAACAGGTGGGGTACCTATAAGAAGATTGTAGAATTGCATATGCTTAATTGTTCAAAAAAAAAAGTTCTTTGTCGGATTATTGCACAACCTCCACCTTCTGCCTAGTACTGGCTGATCACTGAAGGCAATACCATTTGGCCATCAGGTAGGGGGAAAAAAGTACCTTGAATGTTCAATATGTTTTATTGCTCTTTTATCCTAGTTGGAAACCACTCCTCATTCATAGTAACATAGACTGAAATGCAATAGCTGGAAAAAATCAGAATATTTACTAGGATTAATAGTTCATCTATGTTAACCTTAGTTATAGAAGGACTGAGTTGAAGCCTGAAACAAGTGCTTCATAAATAAAGCAGGAAAAGAAACAACTTATGAATATACTAGCAGGGACCCATGTGCTGCACGGGCTTTGTTAAAAGAATTTGAGGCAAAAGAAGCTAGGAGTGCAACTTGGGTGGCCCCAACCTGGCTCAACCAAAGATTTTGCACAGGTTGGGCTTGAGCTTTTGAACTTCAAGTTGGGGCTTTGGCCAAAAAACTCAGGCCTAACTCAAACTCAGGTTGGGCATGTGTTGAGGTCTTGAGCAGCTTGGGCCCAACCTGACCCAATTTGAGCCCACCAAAATGATATACATATCTACATATTATCAATCTATTCTACTTGTAAATTGGGCTACAAAGCTCAACACGCCCAAGCCCAAGCCCAGCCCAAGATGTTGGGTCAAGCTCAGGTTGGGCCTGGGTTGGTAAACTTGGGCTTAACCTTGAGTTGGGCCAAGCCTGAGCTCAAGATTTAAGACTTAGGGCTGGGCTTGGGTTGACTCTCAACCTGACTCAACCCACCGAAGTTGCACCCCAAGAAGGAGCATTGTGGCATTCCTAGTTGTACTTTTTATTAAATTGTTTTAACTTTTACTAAATTTTTATTTAGTATTAATTTTTGTTATTTTTAACTGGATTAGGGGATTTAAAATTAATAATAATTAAGATTAAAACTAATAACTTTGTTATTTTTTTATTTTATCAAAAAAAAATGTAGTATCATTTTATTTTTTAAATGAAATTTAAATGGATATCAAATTATAAGATTTAATTTTGAAACTAAAATTATATAATCATTTTCTAAGTTAACTAAATCTGTTAATTTAATTAATGTAATTAAGAAACTTAATTAATATTTTCCTACTTTAACTAATAAAAGTAACTAATTAAATAACCATATACAAGTTAGGCATACACAAAGTTAACTAATAACTAATTAATTTAATTTAATTAAGGTAATGAAGTTAATTAATTAAAGTAATCACTTTAAATCAATGAAATAAATTGAGTTAAAACTTATTTATTTTTTAAGTTAACTAATTGAAGAATTATGTAATTAAAGACTTAATTATGTTATCATTAATTAACTAAGTAGTTTAATACTTTAAAAATAGTCAAAAAGGTCACTTGTATGGGTGATTGGGTTGGCCCTCATTTGTCGTTAAATGGGTAAATATTAACCTAAAATGGAAATAATGTATAAAACTATAGATAGCATATCAGTTAGTTGGGTTGACCTTCGTGTTAGCCAAATCAAATTTTACTAAATAGGGCCTAATTTTTACAGAAAAGTGGAGAGAATAAAGAGGAGTTTGAGATAATTTAGAAGTTCCTATAAACCAGGAGTGTAAATGGGTGGGGCTCTAGTGAAGGGAGAGGATAAATAGGAATTAGAGATAATTTAGGAGAGAAAAATGAGTCTGTTTTTTTGGAGATATGGTAGGAGGAGAGAATATAGGGGAATTGGAGTATATGTTCGTTGTTTGTAAAAATGACATGGAATAAAAAATCAAAAATTCAAAAAAAAAAGAGAAAAAAGCAGGCACTTCCTTGTTTTATGAAAAAAAAATCAAAATGAGATAGTGTGGTAAGATTTTTTAGAGAAAATCAAGATGAACCCTTAGCATAAAACTTAGATATTACATAATAACATAAACTCCTAGCATCAAAGGTGAATAGAAGTATCAAGAACAACCAACAGCTAGTTGGAGTGTCAAAAGGGACCAGAAGAATCACTTAGAGAAAAAACTTCCAACAAGAATTAATAAATTCTAGATGTCTCAAAGAAAAAACTCCCTCTCTTCCTCCCTCTGCATGGGTGGTGTGTTTGCTCCAATACTACTAGAAAATTTAGTGTAAAGAACATATTGGAAAACATCTACTAAGATCCATCAATAGAGTCTATAACTAGCATCTAAAGTAAATTACGAGGTTGGCTTTAAATAAATCCTTCATTTCCGGAAAAACTCCATCATTTTCCATACGTGGATCTAGGAACTTTTCAATGTCTACCTGATGGTGAAAGAGTACGAGCATTGATGAAAGATTGCACCATGCCATTTCCAAACACTCCATGCAACTTAGCACCAAATCCTGCAGCCGAGAGATACCCAATTGCCTAAGAATGATAAAAGATAATCAATTAAACATGAGAAGCAAATTAAGTTAAAAGGACACAAAGACTACAAATAGAAAAAGAAATAACTAGGAGACAGGCATTAGTAGAAAGTAGAAACTCATCCTAAGTTTTAGAACAAACATAGTCTAAAATAATTTAGATTTTCGTAATTGAATGACAGTGTTGAAACATGAATGGTAAATTATACTACTGAAAGTGTTGATAAGGGCATGTCTAATTATATCATTTTCTTTGCAGTTCTATCTAAGAGGCCATTACCCAAAGTGGCTATTTTCAGACTTGAACCCATGTTCTCACACTTGTCATCCCAAGATTTTACTATTAAACTAAGCAATGGACTCATTTTCTTGGAAGTTTCGATTAAACAAATAGCTTTTCAGCTTATACTACTAGTACAAAATATATTTGACTTATATGTTCCACAAATATAGGTAGCAACAATAGGAACACAACAGAGCTACAGATTGTTAGCTTCAAAGAGCCTGAAGATTTGGAATAAATCTGATTGAAAACTAATTAAACTACACTTGCAGGATCCATGTTATAACACTTTGGCAATTACGACCACCAAGAACAAGGAAATTCACCTGTAGTTCCCGCTCACGATCAATCACATACTCAGTATTTGGACCATATAGGCGAACTGTCAGAGGAACATCACTTCCGTTGTCTTCTCTCACAGATATCTTGAGCACTGCAAGGATGAATAATAAACTTTGTTTAAATTCTGCATCAACTGAAAAGATGACACAAACACATTTAATAATAAACAGCCGCAATTTATATATATATATATATATATATAGTGGCTCCATTTGTTTCACTTTAAAGGGCAGGGTTTTTCGATCTGAAAATTTCATTTATATCTGCCCCCTTTTACAGAAATTATGTTTTCAACCTCTTTCTTAAGACTAAGATACCCGGATACCTGTACAAGGGTAGTGTCAGATACTTCAATTTTTTGTGTAATTTTCGTATCTGATACTACATCCACCCATGTCCTTGCCATATTCAGGTAACTTAGCTCCTTTCACATGGAAATAAACGAAGCTAATAGAAAAGGGCAAATAGGTATCAAAAAGCAGGGTTACTCTCTTCCACTGAAAGGGAAACTGGAAGCGGGAAAACAAAGTGGCATATCTTCACTCTCTTGATTAAAAATTAATATTCCCTAAAAACAATGACAGAGAATCAGAACAATCAAAAACTACACGAGGAGAATTAAAAAAATGCACATTCGGAACCAGAAAGAAAAGGTAGCCAGGATGTAATTCAACCCAGTACACTGATCAAGTTTCCTTTTTGCTACAAAGTAAACTTTTGTGTGAAATTCACTTACGGAGATTCGTTATGCCACCAGAAACTGTCTCAACTGAAAAACGAGACTCATCTAAGTGCGACCACTTCTTGAATAGATCTTTACACAACCCTCGATCGAAAGCAAACCAGACAAAAATCGTTAATAACTCTCTTGAAAAGGCTAAAATGAAAATGTTCTCCATAAACAATAATGACTAGAACAAATAAAAAAAAAATCATTTTATATATAATCAAGGCCAAACAACAAAAGCATGTAGCATGTTGTTGCATCTATATACATACATACAGGGAGAGAGAGAAGAGAGAGAGAGAGAACATGACAATAGCAGAACACAGAAGCGCTAATTCCAGCAGTCAATGAAATGTTATAGGGACCGTGGAAACAGAAAATTTATATATAATAGAACAACAGATTCGAAACAGATAAAAAAAAAAAAAAACAGAAGAAGAAGAAGAAATAAAGAAAGAAAGAAAGAAAACCGCCGATTCCAGTTAGCTGCCAAGCTAAGGACATCAAAACAGCGCTTCTAAAAAAAATACTTCTGACAAAGAGAACAAGACAGAAACAAGCAGAGATCAGTAATAACGAACATAATTCGAGGTTTCAGTTGAGGCAGAGGGAGAGATGTATCCACAGTGAGAGACGAAGATGGCATATCTGAGCAGCAAGTTTCTCCATTTTCCCCTGTTCCTTCCATGCCGTTCCAGATCTTTACTGCTCCCATTTTCTCCCGTCTTCCTTGCCTTGATCTCTCTCTCCCCTTCACGGCTTCACGAAATTAAGCGAAGCTAAGCTTTTGGAGATTCCGTAATTCCGTTAGTGCTGGAACATTTGAGTGGGGAATTGGGATTTGGCCATTTGGGATCTCTCTTATTCTCTCATATGAATAATAAATATAAACTAGTGAATGACACTGTAATCGGGAAGTTAATTATATATATATATATAAACATTAATGATTTTTATTATCACTTTTTATTACTATTTATAAATCGCCATTTTTTAAGACATTCGTAAAGTCTACGCGTTATATAAATTGACCCTCATATGTCAAACCAATAAAATTATACGGGTCATTAAATTCAATTTGAACCGTTTATTACTTTAATTTAATCATTTTTATTATTATTATTAATTTATTTTAGTATTTAATTTGAAATTTTTGTTATATAGTAATAATAATAACTAAATTTGTAATTATTTAAATATTTACTTAAAATAATTTTTTCCCAACCGAGTATAATTATTACATAATAGATTTGTTAATTTATATTTTGAATTTAAGAATAAACATTAATGATTTGGCTTAACAATTTTAATGACTGTTAATAAATATTGATTCTTATTTAAGGTTTAATTAATATATTCGGTAGTTATAATGAGGCATGCTTTGAATAAACATTAATGATAACTGATGATTGTTATTTCATTTTTTATTATTTACTTAATTAAGTACTTGATGATTGTTATTATTATTAATTATTTTTATAAATAATTGATTGCTATTATTATTTACTTAATCCAGTAATTTTCAGCAAGTAATTATTTGATTTAATTTGAATTATTTTATTTTTAATTATTTATAATAGACATTTAGGGGGGGCTCTTTATTTGATTTAAGAGACTTACCATGTTTTATCTAGACAATGACCCCATAGTAGTAAGGGCAATTACAGTATGATTTAATTTGAAATTTACTATTTAACAATAAAAAATCAATGTCTTGTTGAGCAACACACCCCAAAAAACAGTATCAATAACTTTGAAATCATTAATATATTTATAAAATAGTAAAATTAGATGGATGTTTACAACAATATCACCAATACTGGTTAATATTTAGGGATATATGAATGGATAAAAAGCATTTAAATGATATCCATTCAAAAAGGCAAAGAATGAAGAAAATCATTCAAAGAGCTACTAAGAAAAATAATCCATGCCAAACAACATTTACAGATGCATTCATCCTCTGAAGTAAGAGATGAAAAATATATTACTACAATCAAATCATCATCATGTATGACTACAATCAACTGATAATATATTCAGGACTCCAAAGCCCATCCAACAAAAGAAACATGAAAGAAAGGAGAATAATGAGACCATCCTGAGTATGAAAGTCACATCCAAGTTAGGTGGCAACACTTCTTTTAGTCAATCATGGTTAGACCTGTTCATGGGCTGGGTAGCCCGGTGGCCCGGCCTGCACCCCGGTCGGGGTTGGTCATGTAATTAGGCCCGCGGGCCTAACCTCGGGCCTAACACAATAAGCTCAACTGTGTTTCGGACCAGGCTCGGGACTTGTCAAAAAAGCCCGGCCCAAGCCGACTCAGCATTATAAAATATATAATATGTATTTTATATATTATATAAAATATATAAATAATATAATATTATTAAAATATATATTTATAATTTAATATATACATTTTTTTATTCTTTTCTTTATAATCTCTCCCTCCCTCCCTCCCTCCCTCTCTCTCTCTCTCTCTCTATTCAGCCGCTAACAGTATGGGCTAAATTTTGGGCTCGGGCCCAGGCCCGGGCTTCGGGTTTTTTATGAGGGCCGAGCTCGGGCCTTAGAAAATTCTGTTAATACAGAGTGAAAGCCCGGCCCGAGCCTAGCCTGGCCCGGCCCGACCCATGTACAAGTCTAATCATGGTTATGGATTTTAAGTCTAAGCTCCCCACGGTGCACGTAGACTGACTAGAATTTATATAGAGCCTAATGGTATGTTTGAATTATGGGAATTGGGAGATAGAAATAGCAAATGTAGGTTGAAGTTATAACTTTGGGCATGTTGATGTGTCAATATCAAGTCAATTAAAATATTCATAGATTTTTAGTTCATTCATTTAGTGGTAATTTGAATATTTTTTTTTTATTTCATGTCTTTATTGAGTAATATATATTAATAATATATAAATAATTATGAAATCAGTAATAATAAAAAGTATATTATTATTACTATTATTTACTAATATTATATTCTTATTATGTGTGTATTGATTTTGAAATACATAATATTAAATTATTACTATTATTATTATTAGTATTAGTATTAGTATTTCTTTTTTTACTTTTATTATTATTTTTATTTTTATTATAAAGTAATTAATTTGTTATAATTACAAATTTTAGTTAATTTCTAAAACAGTAATTGCTTTTATAATTCTTTTAGTTTAACAATAATGAATAATTGAAAGTTTATAATTTAACTTTCACTAAATGAAATATTTATTGGAGAATAATAATAGTATTAATTATAATTACTTATAATAATAATAATAATAATAATAAGTAACACTAATTGTATATTTATAAAATAATTAATATGAATTAATATAAATATAAAATGATTATATCCCAATTAAAAATTAACATTATTAAAATACTTATTAATAATCATTAATTAATTAACATTCTGAAGTAATAATTATCATTGTTATAATTAAGGAATTATTTACCAGTAAGTAATTATAATCATTAATTATTTTTTATCAGAATGCATTATTATTAGTAATAATTAATTATAATTATTGACAATAATAATAATGTAAATAAGTAACACTAATTATATATTTATAAAATATTTAATATGAATTAATATTAATATAAAATTATTAAATCCCAATTAACAATTAACATTATTAAAATGCTTATTAATTATCATTAATTAATCAACATTCTAAAGTAATAATTATCATCATTAGTATTAGTAATAATTAATTGTAATTATTGATAATAATAATATAATTATATTAATTAATATAATTATATTAATTAATATAATATTATTAATTATAATTACTTATAATAATATAATTAATTATTTCATATAAATGTATGAATTATAATTTCTGATAATAATTATAATATAAATAATTAACATTAAATATTTATTTTCAAAATGATTAATATGAGTTAATATAAATATAAAATGATTATTTCCAAATTATTAATTACCATTATGAAAATATTTATTAATTATCATTTCAAAGTATTAGCAGTAATTATTATAAGAAATTATTTTCTGAAGTTATAATGGACAATATTATCACTAATTAATTATTATCAACAATTAAGTAATGATAGTAATTATTATAAGAAATTATTTTCAGTAATTAATTATTATCGATGAGTAATTATTATTAGTAATGAATAACTAGAATTAATTAATTAGTAATTAACAATAATTATTATTAGTAATTAATAGCTATAATTAATTAATTAGAAGTAGTTAACAGTAATTAATAGCACAGTTTCCTTTTTTTTTAGGTTTAAAGTGGGAGCTTCCCACTTCTCACAACTCTGCGTGGTGGTGGGTTCAACTCTGCATGTTAGTGGGCTCTTTTCTTGAACTGCCACTAATCAGAATTTGACACATGTCTAGTGGGCTCTGTTCTTGAACTACCATTAATATGAATTTGACACGTGTCCATTTTATTTAAATCTTTGGAATGACAAGTGTTTGAATAGAAGAGAGCCACATGTCTCACTAGGGAAGACTTTTGGCCTGGTTTCATTACTTTATATATATATTAGATGTGGGAGATGCTCCCAATGTGCGGTTAGGATATGTTGTGGAGTTGGTGTGAGGCACGCTCTGTGATTGGGAGCAAATTCAAACTCATGAGGTAGGGAGTTCGGCTTCAGTCAGGGCAAAGCCTATACGGGCAGCTTTTACCGCCTTGCATTGAGAAGATCTCCGTACTTGTGTGCTTTATTTCATGGGGAGATATTCCTAATGCAAGATTACAAAAGGTTGTTAGAATGGTGTGGGCACATATTTACTCAGATAGAAGTCGATCTCAATTTCCATGGGTTCGCCCAATGAAAATTTCATAATTCAAGCAAGGGTCAGCGACTCAACAATTAGAGTTTGGATCAGCTACCAATACACATTGCCAACAACATCCCAACCGGTCTTGCAGGCGTACATCAGGAGCGAGTTTGACTTAAGTCCAGGCACACTGCGTCCAGGCAAAATGCACGCATTCGGAGGACATTACCATTAGTCTAGGTTAAGAAAAATGCGAGTTTTGCTCCTCCTCTCCTCTCCTCTCCTATCACAGACGAACCTCACGCTCTATCTTTCCATCTGCCAGGCGTCGACTGCACACCCATCACCGGCGGCAGGATCAACCTCAGGTATTGTATTTTCTTGCATCTCTTTTAAAACAAAGACAAAAAAAATCACCAACGGTGATGGTTGTGCTAAGATAATTCATGCAGGGGCAATGCCACCTTTTTTTATCAGTGAACATGATCTATTAAGGCTATGTTTGGCTTGAAGGAAAAAGTAGGGAAAGGAAAGGAAAGGAAGGAAAACCTTTACAAATCTTGAATGAGTTTCCCTGCATTTCCATTCCTTTCCCTACTCTTTCCTTCAAACCAAACATAACGTAATGGAACAGAGACTTTTGCCTTCAGCAAAGAAGTGGCATACTTCACTATCAGTTTTTTTTGGACTGGTCATGCTTCATCATGAGATTCAACTAGGAATTACATTGTTTAGTCAAAATGAGGAAGAATTATAAAAGATTCCTCTTGTGAGCACACTGGTTTTCTTGCAAAATTTTGCCTTTGTTCTATGTTATGCAGTTGTTAACTATGAAAGTATTTACAACAACAATGGAGATTGAAATCACTAAAATTATTGGACATCAACACAATGGTTCTATTGAAGAAGAAGCAGAGTTTAACACAGTGGTGTAGTTAAGTGTTGCTGATCTTGAGGCAGGGGAAGATAGTGCTATTTAAGAAATTGAATTGTCAACAATAGAAAGTGAAAGCATTTCTTCATAGGAGGAAGATGCTAAATGAGGAGAAGGATTCCAGAAAAAATAAGAATCTCGTTGAGGGTGAGGATTTTTTTTACTCGGGGAGTTTTGTTGAAATTGTA